CCATGCTCTCACTCTCCCCTCTGGCTGCTGCATTAACGTGCTCAGTTCTTCTCTACCTGACACTTGCATGCACCGGTCCCTTAGCCTCGGCCTAGGCCTCTTCTTCTTCATTCTTTTCTTTTCTTTTTCTTTCTTTCTTTCTTTCTTTCTTTCTTTCTTTCTTTCTTTCTTTCTTTCTTTCTTTCTTTCTTTCTCTAGGCCTCTTCTTAATTCTTTCCTCTTTCTTTTTCTTTTCTTTTCCCTCCCTCCCTCCTTCCCTTCTTTCTTTCTTCTTTCTTTTACTATTTTCGTTTTATTAAAAACAAAAGGCAAGCCTGGCTGGTGGGGCCTCAGGATTGAGCTCTGACCTATGAACCAGGCAGTCATGGTTCGATTACTGGTCCGGGTTATGGGCTCCATTCCCAGTTGGGGATGTGCAGGAGGCAGCCAATCAATGATTCTCTCTCATCACTAATGTTTCTACCTCGCTCCCTCTCCCTTCCTCTATGAAATCAATTAAAATATATTTTAAGAAAATGCAAAATTTAGATGTAAATAGGACCCTGGGTTTTCATCTACCAAATATACATATATTTTTTTCCATCGCCATTTATCATCTCTGTGCTCTCTTCTACCTCCCTGCTCCCCTGTCCCCACATTTACCCCTCATTGCTGTCCATGTCCTTGAGTTCTTTTTTTCTTTTTGCTCAATCCCTCCCTTATCCCCCAACAGAGTTGTCTACCTCTTCTCTACCTATGAGTCTGTCTCTATTTTACTTGGTAGTTCAGTTTATTCATTAAATTCCACATATGAGTAAATTATATGATACTTGTCTTTCTTTCACTGGCTTATTTCACTTGGCATGTCCTCCAGGTCCATCCAGGCCATCACAAAGGGTAACATTTTCTTCCTTTTTACGGCACAGAAGTATTCCATTTCCATTGTGTAAATGTACCATAGCTTTTTTATCCGTCTTCTACTGAGGGGCACGTGGGCTGCTTCCAAATCTTAGCTATTGTAAATAACGCTGCAATGAACATAGGGGTGCATATATTTTTTCCCAATTAGTGTTTCAGGGTTTTTTTTTTTAAATAAATTCCCTGAAGGAGAATTGCTGGGTCATAAGGTAGTTCCATTTTTTATTTTATTTTTTAAAAAATTTTTAAAAAATATATTTTATTGATTTTTTTTTTAACAGAGAAGAAGGGAGCGAGACAGAGAGCTAGAAACGTTGATGAGAGAGAAACATCGACCAGCTGCCTCCTGACCACCCCCTACCGGGGATGTGCCCGCAACCAATGTACATGCCCCTGACCGGAATCGAACCTGGGACCTTTCAGTCCACAGACCGACGCTCTACCACTGAGCCAAACCGGTTTCGGCCATTTTTTATTTTTTGAGGGAACTCCACACTGCTTTCCACAGTGGCTGCACAGTCTGCATCCCACGCACAGTGCACGAGGGTTCCCTTTTCTCCACATCCTCGCCAGCACTTACACAATGACACATCCCCTCCCACCTGCTAGGCCTCTGCTTTTCTTCTCTTTCTATAACCCCCCCTCCTCCATGTCCACCTGCTCCCATGGCTTCAAGCACTATGCCTGTAACTCCCAAATCTCCCTCCTGAGCTCCAGCCCTAAGGCCTGCTGGGGACCTCCGGACTCGGGCTAGAAATATGACATAACCAGAAGGAAAATGACCTTTACTCTTCCACCCCAACATCTCCCTCCCCATGCTCCCTGGGATGCCACATTCACCCCGCTGAGCACCCAGAAAGGTGCCCGCCTCTCATCCCCATCCAACCCTTCCACTTCCCCCTGAAAGTCCCCCCCTTCTCCCCTGGACTCGTCTCCTCCCCTCCACCCTGGCTCCCTTTCAATCGCAAGTGATCTTTTTAAAGTGAGAATGGTCTCTTGTCTTATCTTGTTTAAAACTATCCATGGCTTCCAGTGTGGCTCAGTGGTTGAGCACTGACCTATGAACCGGGAGGTCATGGTTCAATTCCCGGTCAGGGCACAGCCCGGATCGCAGGCTCTATTCCCAGTGTGGGGCGAGCAGGAGGCAGCCAATCAATGATTCTCTCTCATCACTGATGTTTCTATCTCTCTCTCCTTCTCCCATCCTCTCCGAAATCAGTAACAACGAATCCTGAACAAGAGGCCTAAGAGCCTGGTGACTCTGCCTCCCTCTCCCTCTTCCTCTCCCAACTTTTCTGCATCACTCTCGTTACCACCATCCCTTAATAGGCCTCCTTCTAGAATCAACAGTAAAGAATGACTCAGGAAGAGCTTAAAAGATGCTATATTCTGAGAGCCTCACACAAGAAGAAACAAAGCCCACAGACATTCCAATCAAATGACTTTTTGTGTGTAATTTAAAGCGGGAACTCATTATTCTCATCAATCAGGAGTAGTTTTGAAATAGCTTTTGTCCCTATATGGCTATACAATGTGTATCATGTAAAATGGTTCAAAGTGAAAAAAATGGCTTACTCTTGTCAGAGATGGAGGTCACTAAACTTCTGTGAGGTTCCAGAGATCCTTTCAGACTCCCCAGATTTTCCAGATCAGTAATGAAATTAAGAGGGGAGCCCAGTACACGGGGGTCCAACTTTTCATTCTCCCAGATGTTAAACAAAAACGCACACGCATAGAAGAAAGAACCCCTTAACCACAAAAACTGGGAGGCCGTGAAATCAGAATGAAAGCCAGCATTCTGACTTAATGATTTTAGTTTCATGCTTTCCTCTTTCTCACAGGAAAACGGGGAAGTTCTCAAGCAGCTTCCCACACCGACCTCAAGAGCTGGGCTAGATGCAGACAACCACTATTCTAGGGAAGGACTATTCAAGTCATGGAGTCAGCTGGTTCCTCTTGTCTTGAAAACAGCCTTTAAAATATTCTTGCTTAAAAAAAGTGAAGTATTGGGAAAGAAGGAAAAAAGCAGCCCCTGACAGCTGAAACTTCTCTGAGACTCACAACTAGACCTCAGGGTGATCACGCTGGACGGACACCCACGGCCAGGCCACTTCCGTCCCCCTTTTTGGATCTAACCGATCTCACCGAATTCCTACCCCAGGGAGGCAGGGTAAAAGCCGACAAAGCAAGGCCACTCATGATTCTGTGTCACACGGACGAAAACAAGGGTGCTATGCAACCCACAAAATACCAAACACCCCCTTCTCTTGCTAAATGAATGACTGTGTCTTCTTTGCCCAATCAGGGAATTGCCCCACTTTCTAAGAGCATTCAATGCCCAGCAAACCCCCGGTTTCTGAGATGGACCTCCAGATCACACAACCAAACTCTAAATTATGCAACAGGTTCTTTCGAAGACCTTTCCTGAGAGCCCCACGCTCACCCAGACAGTGCTCTCTCCCTCGCCACAAAGAGTGATGATCTGTTGAACAACCAGTTGTGGTTCCTGGGGAGTTTGGCTGAAGGGCATAGATGATATCCAAGTAATAATGTCTTTAAACATTCCCCAATTCCAACCACTTCAAAGCATATTCATTCCCCATCCACGGTAAACACACCAACTTTATGTTTCCTTATTCTCTTCCAATCCTGTCCACACGCATATGTTATACATCCTTCTGTTGCTGAAATCATTGTACATACTCCTCTGTACTCTTTTACTTGCCTCACACAATAACCTTTTAAAAAAAACTTTTTTATCGATTTCAGAGAGAAAGGGAGAGGGAGAGACCTGGAAACATCCATGATGAGCGAGAATCATTCACCGGCTGCCTCCTGTTCGCCCCACCCTGGGGACGGAGCCCATAACCTGGGCCTGGGCCCTGACTGGGAACCCAGCTGTGACCTCCTGGTTCACAGACGGGTGCTCAACCCCTGAGCCATGCCAGCCGGGCACAATAACAACTTTTAACCGCTGACTATTAATCCCACCATGATGTTATCCATGATGGGCGTCATGATATCCTTAGGGAAATAAGCGTCGGAGACTACACATCTTGCTCCTACTTGTCAACATCCTCTCTAAGCTGTTCTAGGTCCTCCTCCAGGCTCAGGTCAAGTGCCATTGATCTAATCAAACTGGCAAAGAGAAATGCGGTCTCGCTGCTTTTCTGGAGGAGAATTGGGAAAGAGCACCAGCCCGGTGTCACAGGCCGAGGTTAGGCACGCTTCGGTAAACAAAAGTGTGACCTCTGGCTAGACTTTTCCTCCCTCCGTCCACTTCCTCCTCGGCTGCAGAGTGCGGGTCAGGCTGCGGCCTCGCCTTTGCAGTCTGTGTTCCTGAGACTCGGGGCACAGAACCGCAGGCGGGGCCGGGCGGCCCCATGACCTGGGGGGAGGGCGCTCCCGCTGCCTTCCCGGGGCGCCGGGTCCCCCAGCACCGCCCTGAGCACCCGGTCAGGGGCAGGGGACGCCCGAGTCACCAAACCGCCTCTCGCTCGGGGGTGGGTGGGTGGGGGGGTAACACATCACACGGAGCAAAAGGAATCCCTGGTTTTGTAATTTATAGAACCATTTCCCATTCACCCTCTCATCTCATCTGCACAGAAACTGTTGCAATAAAATAAAGGGCCGCCTGGCAGGTGCTCTCCGCGGTGCCGAGTGCGCGCGCCCGGAACTGGGGGGACAAGCGCACCCCCTGAAAACGGGGGGGGGGGGGGGGGGAGAAGCGTAAATCACAGCCACCGTTGTGCAGGTTCCAGGGGCTCCCTGAGAGGTTTGCTCCTAACAGCTGTGCCCCAGCCACCTGCACCCCGCTTGCTTCTCCCCCCTCCCTCCTCCCTCTCCTTCCCCCGTCCCCCCAAATCCGCGCGCAGGGAGACCCCTGCTCCGATGCCCCGGGGACCAGGAGCTCCCTGAGAGGTTTGCTCCTAGCTGCTGTGCCCCAGCCACCTGCACCCCTTCTTTCGCGCCCCCCCCCCGCCCCGTCCCCCCAAATCCGCGCGCAGGAAAACGCGACACCTGCACGGGTGCCGCGGGGACCGGGTGCTCCCACGCCCCGCCCTCCCCGCCTCCCCGCACCCGCGACCCTCAGGCTCACCCACCGGCGGCGCGTGCTGCGCCACGGCCACGGCCACGGCCAAGGCCAGGAGGCCGGCGGGCAGGCGACTCCGGCCCAGCATCGTCGCAGCCGTCGCCGACGTCGCTCAGAGACGCGCCGAGGCCGCGAGCGAGCGGCGCCTCCCGGGCCGGGCGGGCCGCGCCCTCCGTCACGTGACCCGCCCGGGCCGTACCACCGCGGCGGGCGGGGGGGGCGGCGGAGGAGGCGGCGCGGGCAGGCGGGGCGGCGCTCCTCGGCGGCGCGGGAAGGGCGGGAGGCGCAGGGTCCCCCTCCCGCCCCGGCGCGGAGGAGGGACTCCCCCCCCAGGGTGGTGGGCAGAGCGGGCGTTCGGCCCGGACGGTGGTCGGACCCCCCCTCCTTCCGCGGGCAGTGGTTGGGCCGAGCCACAGCCCCGCCCCGACGGGGTGGTGCCGGCCCGGCCCGGGGATCCCCGCGCGGACTTCGAAGCCCGGGAGGGAACACCGCCCGCGGGTCCCCGCCGCAGGGGCAGGAGGCGGGGGGCACGCCCCCCTCGGACCCGGGGCCGCCTGTGCAGCCTCCCCGGGGGCCCGGGGTGCGGGCTGCGCTCGGGCCGCTCGGTGCCAAACCTCCAGGAAATGGACCCAACAACTCACAAAAGGCGGGGGACGCTGCCGAGCCTGGTTTGGCTCAGCGGATAGAGCGTCAGCCTGAGGACGCAAGGGTCCCAGGTTCGATTCCGGTTGGTTCGTGCACATCCCCGGTGAAGGGTGTGCAGGAGGCAGCTGGTCGATCTCTCTCTCTCATCCATGTTCCTAGCTCTCCATCCCTCTCTGTGAAAAGATCAATAAAATAAGTCGGAGAACGCGGCCTGCGACCCCGACCCACGTGTGCCCGGGAGGGCTCTTCCTCCTGACCCGGGGTCCCTGGACCGGCTCGATGGCATGATGTCTGGGGCCGGGAGGGGGTGCCCGTGGACACCCATGCTGAGAATGACCCACTGGATGGGGCTCTCACGGCGGTTGACAGGGCACAGAATTGAGGCTTCGGGTACCCAGCTTAGACACAGGGGGGTTGGCCAGTGGCAACCGCGCACCCTGCCTTGGATGGACCCAGCCTGTTCTCCTAGCTGAAGGGCTGCAGGCCGGCAGCCTGAGCTGACCCTGGAGGACAGCAGCCTGGAACACAAGCAGGTGTACAGGCCCATGTGCCTGGCATCCGTGCCTCCTGTGGACGCCGCACCCAGGGAGGATGCGGTGCTTGAAAGTCCGACAGGAAATCCCCAGCTTCTTTTTTTTTTTTTTTTTTTTTTTAATACATTTTATTGATTTTTCACAGAGAGGAAGAGAGAGGGATAGAGAGTTAGAAACATTGATGAGAGAGAATCATCAATCAGCTGCCTCTTACACACCCTCTACTGGAGATGTGCCCGCAACCAAGGTACATGCCCTTGCCCAGAATTGAACCCAGGACCTTTCAGTCCGCAGGCCGACGCTCTATCCACTGAGCCAAACCGGTCCCGGCAATCCCCAGCTTCTGATGGAGGCTCTGACATCTCAACCGGCGTTTTCCCTTCCCGTAAAACCTAGAATATTGCCACTACCATCTTCATACATTACTTTTGTTTCCGTGTGTGTGTGTGTGTGTGTGTGTGTGTGTGTGTGTATGTGTGTGTGTGTGTGTGTGAAATTGCAATTTTGCCCATTTGTGTTACTTCCTTAGAAAAACAATCCTTTTATTGGAAATGAGAACTTGATGTTTTGCGGGGTGTGTGGGGTTTTTTCCTAGGCCTTTTTCCCCCTGTACATGATGAGTCTTTCTCTTTGAGGAGGAAGTCTGACTTTTGAAATAGAACACACGATTAAAGTGAGTTCCTGATTCCACATGAAGCAAGCAGATCCTTGACATGTTCGCTAATTCAAAAAAAATATTTACCGTCGATGTACAGTGTGCCAGGCATTGTAGGATAAACAGGAAACAGACAAAAAAACAAGTCTTCCCTCGTGAGGTGTTCGGTCCAGAAGAGAGGTAGACAGTACGGTAAGCATCATCTGTAAGGAAACACATAGAATGCTAGAAGGCAATCGATGTCATGTTGTAAACGCAGAGGAAGGGGGTGAAGCAGGGGGAGAGGCACAACCTTAAACAAGACGGGCAGAAGGGCATTGTTGAGAGAGTGGGGTCTGAGCGGAGATTTGAAGGAGGGGAGGGAGGTGGCCTTGGGGAGGCCGAGGGAAGAGGATTCCAGGCAGAGGAAGCAGCCGGGGCAAAGGCTTACATGTGAGAATGTGCCTGCGTGTTCTGCCAATGCAGTACCTTGGTGTGGGTGGAGCAGAAGGAAGACGGGAAAGAAGTAGACAGGTCTGAGAGGGAAGTAGGTTAGGGCAGATTATATGGGCCATTAGGAGCCATTGTAAAGCCCCTGGCTTCACTCTGGGCACCTGTGTAATGTGTGAATAGGTCAAATTCTGTTGGACCTGGAGCACTCCTGTCTTTTAATATATAAACTAGAGGCCCGGGTGCATGAAAATTCATTCGCTGGAGGGGCGGGGGAGGGGGAGGGTGATGGTCCTGTTAGCCTGGCCTGGCCTGGCCCCTCTCACAGTCCAGAAACACTCATGGGTGGGAGGTGACCTGGCAATCAGGGGAAGGCAATGCCTCCATCACACCTCTGCTGCTGCCACTGCTGGCAGCACAAGCTGCCTCGTTCAGCCCTGGTTACCTGAGCCTCTGGCAGCCCTGGGCGGCTGAGCACCTGACATCCGAGGCTTGCCTGTGCCTCGGGCTGGCCCTGGGCGGCTGAGGGGACTGGAGGACTCCAAAGGCAGGCACACGGAGCAGCCAGACCTGCCTGGGGGCGAGCCCGGCTATGCTGCCTGCCTGCTACACTGGTGGGGCTGAGGGGCCTGGGCGCCACCACCTTGTGGCTCTGGGTGTCACCATCTTTAGAGGGCATGGCAGTCAATTAGCATATTCCCTCCTTATTGGCTATGGACGCCGCCATCTTTCTGAGGACGTGATGGTCAATTAGAATATTCCCCCTTTATTAGATAGGATGTACTAGAGGTCTGGTCCACGAAATTGTGCACTGGTGGGGTCCAGCTGGCCGGCCCTGATGGGGGCCCATCCGGCAGGGCCATGCGGGTAAGAGGCTGCTGGTTGGAGGCTGGCCCCGCCCTGGTCAGGGTGTTGGGGGCCTGGCTGGCTCGGGGAGGGGCTGATTGGGGCCCGGATCCAGCTGGCTGGCTGCCGCAGTGCATGTCAAAGCCACCAGTCATTCTGGTCATTCTAGTCACTGGGCTTTTATACATATAGATAGCTATTTGGATTACAGATTGGTCACCTACATTTACAACTTGACGTTTATTGCTACTGAGGGCACTTTGAACATTTTTTTTCCCCTGTGAGAGGATGTTAATTGGTGGCAAAATCAGAATCCTTATGCAGAAATCCTATTTTAATTGTCATAACGTTCTTAGGCACAATTTTCATATAATTTTGCATTTAACTTTCAAAGGCCTTTTCTATGCTATTTATTCTATTTTCAGATAAGTTAAGAATTTATTCTACTTTCCTAAAATTATGCCATTTTGTGCATTATTTTTTCTTACAACACATCCTTTTTGTTTGTTTGTTTTTAACCTCATCAATCCTTCAACACTAGAAATGCACAGAAGACCGAGGCAAGGCAGGTGGCCACAGGAAACCCTGCCATGGTTGGAGGTATCCTGACACATTAACATAAAATGGTATTTAAATGGACAAATGAATGGCTGTGTCCACGGGAAGGGTGGTTCAAATACTGCCCTCACAGCAAGCATCAAGTATCAGGTTTGGGTGACCTGTTTAGCATGCAAGAGTCAGCATCAGTAATCAAATTGTTTATCAGAATAGCTGAAGTGCCTGGCACGCTGTGGACCTTCTCCAATCTCCTACCTAACATTCCTAACTTCCTGAGCTGGAGCCTTAATTTAAAACCATCGCAATCTAGCCACCCCACCCTCAATGAAATCTATCGCACATCACAGCACCACATTAACCAGAACAGGTATGACTTGATTTATAAAACTGAATATTAAAAAACGCATTCTGGATCAAGAAACATAGTTCTAAATATAAACATCACCACAGTCATTGCCAACTCTAGTGCTTTTTTTTTTCAAGAAAAAATGCTTAGTATATTTAAAATGTACTCTTGAGTTTCCAAGCTTGGATTTTTGTTCATGTTTTCAGGAGAATAAAAGATTGGGGGGGGGGGAATGGAAAATGAGAGGTCATGCAAAATTATCACATGATTCTTTCTCTCCAGTAGCTTTATCTCACGAAGAGAGTACTTGTGTTTGGCTTTACTTTTCCATAGAAAAGTATGTTAAATCATTACCTTCTGCTCAAGGTATTTTATTGCACACCTACTAATTTAGTGCTCATATTTAATCTAATTGTTCTCCCCATGTAATGTCAAAATAAAATACTTAGCTTAATTACCCATCACTTTTAACTTACCTTTCAGATATATATATATTTGTCCTACAATTGAGGCACTTGTCTTTTCTAACAGGAAAGAAAAAGTAAGCTGGGAGTCCCCATTGCTGCTGACATTCATGCTGTAAATTTGTAGGGGAGGCCCCTGAGGATGAACAGATCTTGTGGGCAGCACAGAAGAGAGATGGAAAGACACTGGGTCATTAAGACATTGTTCAGCTGCTAGATCAGCCATTCACGAAGCCTGTCCAACAGCTGGACTCTTCATTAACGTGAGCCACCATTCTTCTTTATCATTTAAGCCAGGTCAAGTTGGTTTGATTGCAGGCTGAATTATTGTATCTGAGAGTATCCTCACAGATATTCCAGAATAGGTATTTCTACCTTCTCAAAAGCAGAGGAGGATTTATTGTAAACCTATACCACGTAAGTTCCAGGACCTCCCTTGCTCTGGCCTCTTCCAAGCCTTCTACCTAATTTTGCACTTGCAATTCTTTTTATTAAAGAAGACAATCCAAATTGTATAAGCTTCAGGCCTCACAAAATCTGGATCTACTGTCAGATGTTTAGAGGGGGAGGGGGGATGTCTGCTTTTCTCTCCAGTTCCCTCAATTCTTGTGT